CTCCAGAATCTTGTTACAACACCAACTCTGTATTACGTTCTACATATTGTTTTTTTTACCAATATATTTTGCTTTGCTCAATCAATGAATACCGCCAGCCGGAAAGCGCAACCTCAAACACCACCACAAACGTGCTTATGAAGAATACCGATCGTTCTGACCGTGGCCCCTCCGGCAAAGACACTATACAAGAATAATTAAACTACTTTTGTGCGGGGGAGCACGACAAAGGTTTGGGACAAAATTAACAGCCCGTACGCACACACACATTATCGCAAGTGAGTTTATTACCGCATAGACAACATCGTACGCAGGGGAAATATCAAAACGTGTTGCTGTCCGACACCACCAGCACAGCGCAGTCACGTGATCCGCGTGTTTCTATCCAGCACTTGTCAGGCATGTTATGTTCGCTGCATCACCGAATTGCTCCTGAATAAAATACAATAATTATTGAAACTTTCAAGTAGTTTCGACAAAATAACGTTTGTTATTCGTGGTGCGAGCACAGGCCTATTTGATTTGGTGTCGATCGATCAGACATCACACGGAGCAAGTGAAAATTTAAAAAAAATGGAATGATCGTATCAGCTCGGCGGCGTCTCATTGAGACTTCATCGCACGTTCAAGGACCTCGGCCATGCAGCGGGGAAAGTGCTCCATTGCGTGGAGGCGATTTTATATCAAGCCAGACGTAAGTTTGGGATACGAAAGTTGGTGCGATAGCGTCCTTCCTTTCTTCGTTGAAACTAAGGTACATCATTTGGGCCTCTGGGTCAAAAAAAAGTATTTCACTACGAACTCCTCGGCACTTCTTTCCTCACCATTGTTCTTTGTTATCTGTTCGTGTTCTTTTTTTACAAAAGCTTGGAACTGCACTTGCTCATTGAGACAAGCTTTAGCCTGACTGGACATTCGCTGCGCCCACTGTCGGCCGCAAAATCTTGCGCTATGTGCAGCGCGTGGCAGAGTGACGCAAGACTGCATTGCCACGCCACTGTCACATTGCTTGAAGTAGAGGCTATAAGCCGCGGCTTCCGCGATTAGCTGCGGCAACGCGCTGTTGCCGGGGTGTCGTTGCCGGAGCTAATCACGGAGGCCGGGGCCAATAGCCTCAAAACCACGTCGTGTTATTCTGGGAGGCGCAGCAATGCACTGTGCCGTCACTCCGCCACACATTGCACATCCCGCAAACATCTATGGCCCACAGTACACTCTAGAGATGCCTTCCAACGGTAATACAAGATAGAGAAACAAGGGACAGTCAGAGAAGTTAACCAGGCTGTATCCAGTTTTCCACTTTACGCGGACGGAGGAAGAAAAATTTTAAAAAGCAATGAAAAAAAACGCAAGCTAGTAATACACGCACACGACGACAGTAGCAGCCGAGAAATGTGTGAGACAGTTTTCTCGGCAGTTGTTGCCGAGAAAATTGTGTCAAAATTGCCGAAAAGAAAAAAAAAAGCCGACACGTGGAACGGAACACTGAACATTAGCCAGTTAATTTGTTGTTGTTCCGTTTAGTGCCATGAATAGTATGCGTGAGTACGAAGTTTGTAAGGAAGAAATTCTCGCTTGAAATAATTTCAACTAAACGTTGAACCACAATGGTTACACCCTTACGAGCAAAAGGGCAGGTACAAGCAAACTTGAAGCAGTGCAAATGTGCAATAGAAGTGCCATTTTGCCCTGTTGTTTTGTTGGTGTACAAGACGCTAGTGAAAAAAAAATTGCCCGCAGCTTCCCTCGGGGGAACACTGAGGAGGATGCGGAGCATATAATTGGTTAACGGGGTGTTAAAGTGCGACTTACTTGGGTCGATGGCTAAATTGGTTAACGTGGTTGTGAAATGGGGTGTTAAATTGCGACTTACTTGGGTCGATGGCTAAATTGGTTAACGTGGTTGTAGGAGGGGGTGTTAAATGAGTGAACACGTACACACGTATGCGAAAGGACGGCGCTGGTCGAAGGGACGTCGATCATTGTGTTTGTGGATTCGTTGGAATTCATTTCACCGCGACCTTGGACGTCGACGCGCCGTACAAACCAACCGACGAGCGGCAACTGAGCGAGCGAGCGCCGACCTTGAGTATATATACAGCGCTACGGCGCATGCACTGTCAGCTCTTGAATGTTCTCGAAGGAGAAGCGCGCGCGCGGCACAGATGGCGACGGCGCGACGGCGCATGCGCTGTCAGCTGTCGAATGTTCTCGAAGGAGAAGCGCGCGCGGCACAGATGGTGGGCGACGGCGCGACGGCGCATGCGCGCGCGTCAGCTGTCGAATGTTCGAGAAGCGGTGCGGACGGCGCGGACGGCGCGGACGGCGCACTACAAGGCGAGTGTATAAGATGCTTCCGCATCTAAAATTCGATTCCTCCTGATGCTACCATAGCTTGCTTCAAACAAGCGTTTAAAGTGCTTGAGAAATGCATCGAGGTTTGGGCATGTTAGGCGTATTGAGATGTAACTCTGTAGTCGCTATAGGCCAAACCACGCTACCCAGATGAGTCATGTTGTGGAGTTCGTACAGCTTCGCAGTGCTCGTTTATGATACCACACCAGTGCTCACTCTGGGTCCCCTGGCCGGCTCCTCACGACCTTAACAAAGTTCTCTGTCTGTCTTTACTGCATTACATTTTATATGCTTGAGGTTTGCTGTTTTTAGCAAAATTGCGTTCTGGATAGTTGGTTCATTGCTTGTGTTTCATTGTTTTTTTTTTGTCAAGTTTTTCTTCCGTTGTTTGCTTCTTTACATCCGCAAAGCTCAGCGAGATTACTGTCATGCTTTCGGTGTGCGTTTGGCCGCTATTTCGGGCTGCACTCTTAGTTAGCAATGGCAGTATTTTTGTCGGTACATGCGAAATTCAAAAATTGGTCTCGTGTACAGGTTCCTGCTTGAAATATCTCCTCTTTGCTTACCTGAAAATGAACAGATTGCAGTCTGCTGACTGATTAATATGTGGGGTTTAACGTCCCAATACCACCATATTGTAGCGTAAACATTGATGTAGCTTTTTTTTTTACTTTTGGCTCGTTCCAATGTCGCGGAGTGACTGACTGAAGTGAACTTTATTTTGTCCTGAGAAAACAAGTCCCCCTAAAGGGACTCGTCCACGGAGTCACCTAAGAGTAGGTTTGTGGTGCAAGCACCGGCTTTGTTGTGCTCGTAGGATCTTCCTGCAAGGAAGCTTCCTCGTACGAGGGCTGCTACGCAGGTAGAGAGTCGTCAACGGAGACGTTTTGTGTGATGCTTTCCGGTTTCGTCTCCGGGCTGCCTCTCGGGATGTTGCCAGGGGAGCTGGGGGAGAGTTGCACAGTGGACGCCACGAGAGCAGTTCGCAGCGTGTGCTGCGCAAAGTTGTCCCAGTTACGTAGCGTGTACAACGTGAATCAGAAGTGTTTTAACCAAATAAATCATTTCAGGAGAAAATCGATGGATCTGTTGTGTGTATGTGTTGATACTCTCCGCGGCGGCGAACGAGTAGTGAACACAACACTACGCTACAATATAACTATGAGACACGCCGTAGTGAAGGGCATCAAAAATTCGGACCACCTGGGATTTTCTAACGTGAACCCAAATCTGAGCGCACGGGCATACAGCATTTTCGCCTCCATCGAAAATGCAGCCGTCGCAGCCGGGATTCTATACCGCGACCTGCAGGTCAACAGCCGAGTGCCTTAGTCAACAGACCTACCGCGGCTGGGCAGTTTGCAGTCTGCGTTCGTGGTGTTCTGAATGCTTCCTTACTGGTGCTACGCCTTATCGCGCAGTTAGAAAAAGTTTTTCAACGAGTGTAGTAAAAGGCAAACTAGTACCATCATGGCAAACCAGCACACGCTCTCTCTGTCCTCTTCTTTATCTTCGTCCCATTTTGCTTCTCTTCTAGAACACGTGTGCTATTTTTTCCAGCCTGCAGCGAAATGACTCTGATGTACAATATATCGAGTGCTAAGACGAAAAGAGAAAGAAAAAATTGTGGAGAGGCGAGATTTGAATCCGCGTACCCATGATCCAAAGGCGAGCGTTGTAACCAATCGGTCATATATCTTGGTACGCTAGTAGAGGGTAGCATAGCTTTGTATAATATAGAATATCAAAGTGGTAGGAAAGGGAAGTATGACAATGAGGAGAGATGTGATAGTAGGGATGAGTAAAAAGAGGATGATTGGGGGAACAAGTGCACAGACAGTGAAAGAAATAGGTAGAAACTAAAAGGAGAAAAATATAAAGGCGAGAGAACAATTACAGAGAGAGTGAAATACATAGAATGAGAAAAGGAAAGCGGAAAGAATAAAGGAAAAAAGAAAAGAAAAAGATAGAAAAGAACAGGGAGAAAGCAAAAGAAACAGAAAGAACTATAAATGCAAAACAGGGGAGCAAGCATAGTCATGTATAGTGTAGCTGGAAAAAAGATGTGGACGGTTAAAATCTTCGCCAAGCCAAGACTATCTAGGTACCCACCAGTTCTGCTGTGACCCAACCATGCTCGATTTAGCGCAAGCTGCGCTAACTTTCTGTTCTTATGCGAGTAAAAAAACGTGGATCACTGCCAAAGAACGTTTTCCTTCTCATCTCTTTTCTGACTTGAGGCAGAATGCACAAGATGGTAACAGTATAAAAGGAATGAGAGCACCGATTTCCAATTATGAATCGATGCTCCCTCAACTGGTTTCCAGGACTCTTTTTTTTACCACACCCAATGCTCACATAGTACGGCAACTTTGGAAAAGAGAGGAGCGATTACAATGAATTGATGTTGCGATACATGATACTAAACAAAGCATTCTAACTCCAACTCAGTGGCCGAAGATAGTGAGGCATTGTAGTGATCGTCGCTGCTGGCCCCACAGAAGGCTCTTGGCCTTTAAACAGCCACCACTACGGGTGTTAGAGCACCGTTGTCACAAAACCTCGCTCCGTTTGATGTTGGTGCGCGTAACAAAGTAGTGAGCCCAACGACCGTTGACCCACTGGCGAAGTCCCGTTGGCCGCAGCCCGCTGGCTGCTCACCTGGGCTGGTGCCCTCGCCAACCTTCGTCACGGCGTCTTATCGCCTCCGTTGCTTCCGCCGCCACTGCCGTTCGAGGCGTCCCGCCGAGGTCTCCGCCGGGGGGCGCCCCTGGCAGCAGTTGTTCCTGCGGGGCAGCGGGGAGGTGTGTGCGCGTGTGGCGGTCGGGGCTTCCCGCACGTGCCGCCGGCCGACACCCGAGCGCCAGAAGCTCAGAAGTCGAGACTGCAGGCGGGTGCGGCGGCACAGGTGAGTTCCCGGATGGCCTCCTCCTTGAGACTTCTCCCCCACTCCTGTCACTCACGTACTCCTGCACGACTCGTCCAGCCACGGAAGCCATGCATGTCTCTCTTTTCTTGCCTTTTCTATCTCCTCTGGCGACTGGACATGTTTACCGCTCGCTGGAATGCGACCACCAATCCCATTTGCATTCTGTAACTGTCCGATGTCCCTACCCTGGCCATCTTGGCCGCCCGTGCATGTTGTGTTCAGTGTGCGCCGTCGGAAATCGGGGTTTTCCCATCTGTCTGACTGCTTTCCAGGGACATCATGACGTGAACGACATAGTAACGCGAAATCTGATGCGTCGACTAGCGCTGTCATAGTATTGATGAAGGAACATCATTACGTGAACGCTGCAGTAGTGTCCTAAATCTGATGGGTCAACTAGCGTTGTGTTAGTATTCGTCGATAAATCTAGTTGAAATATTTTGGTTGTTGATTCAGTTGCTACTGTTAAGCAGCAGCCTGTCAACCACTCGATGTTCTTTAGCCATCATCCTACCCACAGAATACGCCATTTCTTGTATTACTGTCTTCAGACCTCGCACCTTTCGGAGTGCGGATGCGAGTGCGCACAAACACAAAGCATACATAATGTTCGTGTCCAAAACCTGTTTACACGTCGGAACGCCGCTGGAGTGGATTCTCTAACCCCTTCCTTTGGGGCTTCTTTTTAAATTATTATTTCTCTTCAGAGAAGAAGGGCAGGAGGGTACGCGGACAGCACCGAGAAATGAAAGGTTGCGCTTAAAATCACGCCGTTTGGTGTGGCGCCCGAAATAAATTGCCCCGTTCAGCACTTAGCATTTGCCGGTCAGCAGCGCTCGTTTCGCCCTTGAAGCAAAAAAAGGCCTGGACGCGGGAAGAAAAAAACAAGGAAAAAAAGCACCAGAGGTGCCGGGACTTTAACGAAAACACGGCTGGAGGTTTAACGCAGTGTGTCGCAACGAACACGTACCTGCGATACGGGCCGAGGAAGAATCGCGAGGGCGTACCAGGCGCGCGTCAGCTTTCACGGCAAAGCACGTTCGCTGAAGGCCAAAAGGTATGGCAGCTCAGCTTTAATCATTCGACTACTATACCCCCGTGCAAATGGCCGCCTTATGCGCTTTGTTTGACAGCTCATTTCAAGCATGGAGAAATATATTGGCATGGCTGAGATGCACGTAACTGCGAAACGTATGACTCTGCAGCGCCCTTAGCAACATTGTTTGTTTCGAAACAGTTACTGCATAGAAAAACGAAACGATTAAACAACGTTTGTTTCTGGTAGACGGGGGAAAGCAGTCAGCTGGCTGTACGGGATGAAACGGTGGCGGGAGACGCGATGGTATAGCTCGTTTAGCTTGTTTGGAAAACGCACATGTTGTTGGGCTTCGCCAAGTGCGAGTGACAGTTATTCCATTCCCACGCTTATCGCAGTCACAACATGAGACCAGTGCTCACGCATCAAAATGATATGCGCTTTTTTATTTACGTTGAAAAAAAAAGCATTATAAGAGGTGGCGGAAAGAGGTGGTAGCACTCTTTTTTGAAGGACCACATTTTCGCAAGCCTTTCACGCATTAAAATGATTTCGTTTGCTTGTTCTTTTTTTTGTGACAAGTCAGAAGAGAAAAAACTATTTCCCGTCTCTCTTGAGGGCGTTATGTATTGGGCACAAAAAGTCACGATCGGCTACGAGAGGACCAAGATTGTTTTATTCTTTAGTTGTGCATTCATTGTCACAGCAGTATGCTGTGCGTGGTTCCTGCTTGCAAGCGCTTAACATCAGCTTCCCCGTATTGAAGTTTCCATGCTGGCCTGATACAGCAAATTTTTTTATGTTAAAAGCAATGCGTTTTGGTGTTAGTGAATTATGGCGAGTGTATTTCTTGTGGCAAGAACTAATTCCCGTGTACCGTTAATTACGCTTGTGGTGAATGAACAAGCTAATGCGATCACCTATTCTTTTTCTCGCGCGCATGCTATCCAATCAGACTTCTACGCAGTAAAGGAGAAACACCTTCATTAAGATTGTCGTAACTTCTCATGAACGGATCGATTAAAATTAAAGCGATTTTTAAAGGGTAGCTACCATATCTGAAGAGAGAGTTTCCGCTGTGCTGTCTAAATCTATCGGTGCTTTCAACAAAGGTTAACAATACTTTACTATTCTCCTTCAGCTTCCATGTACCGTGAAACCAAATTTATCATGTACATGA